AATGTATCACTAAGCTTATATTCTTTTCTCTGATGGCAGATACGGCAAGGTGTACAATAAAAAGTCCAGGAAGTGGAGCCTTTACACACTAAAGGTGGAAAAGGACTACAATTACATTGTGGACCTCCAAAGTGCGATTCTGCGGCACAGGTTGTCCGCTACTGTGGGTTTACCACAGACCGCAAGAAAGAGGCCTGACGATCCCCGTCAACATGGGGTTCTGTCAGGTGTCCCTGCCCCATCAACACAGGAGCTTTTGCAGAGTCAACTCAGCAGAGGGCTAGGTGAGTTTTCTTACGATATTGTTCGCTTGATCATGAAGTGCTAACATACTTATGTGCAAAAGGTAATTTAAAAAATCCATATCATAACTTATGATCTAAAATAGTTATCTAAACAAAGCTATGGATAAACCACTTAGAAAACTGACATAAATGTTTGTTACTGTGTGAAATGGAAACGAAGTTGTAAGTGTTGTCATTCATTGTGTGTCTTTGAGATGCAGTAATTATTGTCAAATGTGTAATTGTGATATTCTCCCTAAAGTTAAATCACTGCCAAAGGACTAGATCGCCACAGCAGACAATGACGCCTCATGCCTGACCTGTCAGCCATCCCTGGACACGCCTTTTGTTAGATGTAAATACAGATTGTTTATGACACTCAGAAGCGGCAAAAGTACAGATACTTGTATAAAAAAAGTATTTCTCTTAGGTCTCTCTTGTATTTTTTTTAATAAAACAATAAAAAGTGTTATACCACATTCGTTGTCATTATTCATTTAGGTAAAATGAAAAGGAAAGTCATTTATCATTTTGGTAAAGGAAAGTCATTTATCATTTTCAAATTTTTATTCCAACGTGACAAAATATAAATAAACAGAAATTTGGACTGTACAAACTATACACCTCAGTGCAAATTTTACAGGAACAATATGTAAAGCAGTACACAATATAAACAGCAGGGCCCAAGAGTGAATGCTATTTATTGCACTGTGCTTACACCCTACTAGGGATGAAACCTGTGTATTGTCAATGTGGATCTGGGTAGCGGTCTCTAATTTTCCAAACACAGCAACTAGGAATTACTACTCTGTGCCCAGCTCCCAGTGCCCCATATTTCCACACAACATATTGCCGGTATGCTGCGTAGCAGAATTGTTTATTGCTCTCCCCTGGGTCTGGAAGATCCTCCACAGCCCGGACATCATTCCAGATCCTTCTGGCAAGTCGCAAGACCCCCTCCTGCAAAATGTACACTTCCATGTGAGGCAGCATGGAAATGCAGGAGTCGTGCTGTTGCCCACAGCACTTTCTTTCTACATCCATGGGCATCTCACGGCAGTTTCGGCACACACACCAAGTGGGTTGACCCGGAGCTGGAGGGCCTGGTGGAGGAGCATTTCCTGATGTTGACATGTGGAGGAGATCAAACATGAGGCTTGGGTCCCTTGTCAGGCAGATCTGCAGCAACTGATGGGATTCTTCCAAGCTCAGTGTATGAATTCTGGCTTGTAAAACAATAGTTCATCAAGAAGATTAGACTTTTTTTTTTTTTAACAGAGCTTTACTGTCCTCTAAGAAGAATTTTGTGTCCACAGTACATGCCAGGTAATCATTTATAGTTATTGGTGATGTTGAGGTCCGAAAAATATGAAATAAAAATAAAAATACTATTACAGATAGGCTACCTGCTCATCTGCAATTCTTTGAGCTTGCAGATTCTCCACTCGCAGAATATCCTCATGTCAAAGTTGTTCTCCGTTCGCAGTCCGGCTTGCTCCCTGTCCTCTACTTCGACTTCCTCGGCTTCTACCCGGTGCACCCGCTCTAGCACAGCCTCCTCTTGCTCGAGCACGACCTCGGACCTGTCCTCTTTGACCTGAAGACGTGCTCGGCTGCGGACTGTAGGTAGGATCAGAGCCAGTGCTCTCATCGTGGAAGCTCTAACAAGCAAAATAATGAAGATATATAAAAACACAAAATTCATGTTTGTCAGTGATGGTAACAGAAAAAAAACGTTACATTGTTAGAATGTAATTTAGCAGACGCTTTTATCCAAAGTGACGTACATTTGAGAGTTTATACAACACAAAACGTGTAATGTTAGCCTAGTATTGCTAACGTAAACATAACGTGCTAGCTTGAAAGCTGCAAGTAACGTTACTAACAATAGCCATGCTTTTTTTACATTCATTATAATAATAATATAGTTTACTTACAGGTGAATGAGACAAGAGGTAGTTTGGTTGATGTCCAAAATGTGCTGAAATACTTGGCTCTCCTGTGCCCTGCAGCTGACTCCGACTGTAGGATGCGCGTTCAAGTTTGTGGGGCCGTGGCCTTTGGACGGAGCACTGACGGGAGGGGGAGGAGGGGGTGGAGCTTAGAGGAGATGCCACTTTCAATTCTTGCTAGGTCTCCAACATTACCAACTACAGCTTTAAGCTATATTTAATGTGTATTTTGAATCAACTATATAAATAAAGTTTGATTTGAACTAAACTTTACAGCACTTAACACAGTCCTCCACCGCCGACTATTGTTTTGGAGGTGTAACTGCAGAGTGGTACAGACACACCACCGCAGAAGTGAAAATAACGTGCAGATTTTTTTTTTCAGTGGACTTCAGTGGACCAAAATTTTCTTTGGTTGACTACAGCCCTACCAGTTACTTTACAAAGTTACTCCCTGAGAAAAGTGACTCAAGTACTTTTAAAGTACTTCCAACGTTACTCCCTGAGAAAAGTAACTAAAGTATTTTTAAAGTACTTTTGAGTATTCTACATTTCCTATTGGGCAATGGACCACAGGGCGCTTAGCCTACATTTTTTGTCTCCAAAATTAAAGTTATGGACCACTTGCCCTTCACTGAGATCCAATTCTCCCATCACAGCCATCACTTTGACCAGTAGAAACACAGAGTGATCTGCTGCCGTAGACAACTGACAACAACACCCCAGCCTTTTTAATATTTCCTTGAGGGATGTTACCACGACAGAGTAAAAGGGGAAAATGATAGTGTGAAACAGCAAAGGCACTTTGTCAACCCACTGAGTACTGTTATTAGCATCAAGCTAGCAAACAATGTTAAATCGTCACGATCGGACATAAAGTAATAACATTAACAAATATTTGCGGAGCTTTTACTCACCACAACTGCAGAGGCTACCAGCTTCATTTGAAACAGTCTACATTATAGAAGGTCCTGGAATCAATGAAATCTCCTTGCACAGCCACAGGTAGTCAGGTGCTGGTAGGCAGCAGGAACGTGTGTAATCAGCTTGACAAACAAATCCTCCGCACGCTGACATAGACTTTACTATACTTGACAACGCTGGAACAACGCTCAAATAAAGTATAGTAAAGTCTATGTCAGTGTGCGGAGGATTTGTTTGTCAAGCTGATTATAGAAGGTCCGTTATTTATTAATCCCTCTGTGTTTTTATATATTTACTTTTTATCCGTTCCCGTTGTCTTTATAAAATTAACACATCGCACCGTCATTTCAAACTCAACACTTCCTGAATTTGTTTCAAATTAAAAGCCCCTTATAACCTCGGCTGAGAGAATCCCTCCATTTTCTAAATAGGCTTTTATTGTGAAACATTTGTAGGAACTTGTTGTGGAGGATACAGTAGCTTGAATATTTGCATACGGTGCTTCAAATGTAGCTCCTGCCATCTGCTGACGCTTTTAGGTGACTACAACAACATTTCCGCTGGCACATGAACACACACAAAGACTCAAATAATAGTAAAAGTAATAAAAATAGGACAAGAATAACCCGATGACATGAAAGACGACCGGGGATAATTGGTGAGTACCATCGTGTAGTGTGTAATATCTGTCGGCCAAGTCACGGCACGATTTTATGACTCCACAATCGTGTAATGTGACATAGTGACTTTCAGAACGGGCAGAAAAGTCGTGTAGTGTGTGTACCAGGCATAATGCAAGTCTTTCTGAGTCTGACCTGACTGTCAGCGAGTCCTCCTCCATCTATTGAGTTGTGGGGATTTTATTGACGGTCCTGCAGAGACTCCACCGTAGACAATGGCAGCATTTCTTCTACCACGTAGCTAGCCACAAGCTTCATGACTTCTTTCAGACGAATAGGTTTAACGTTATCTCCATTATTAGAACCAAAAGACCAGTGTTCTAAAAGTAACGGAAGTAACTGATGGCTTGTTTGAAAATGTACTCAAGTATCTGATTACTCAAACAGCAAACTAACGCATTAGGTTACTCGTTACTGCAAAAAGTAATCAAAGTACTCTAACGCATTACTTTGTAACGCGTTATACCCAACTCTGGTTAGTGCCCATGGCATCATGGCGAACTTGCACATCTGTGAAGGCACCATGAATGCTGAAAGGTACATACAGGTTTTGGAGCAGCATATGCTGCCATCCAGATAATGTCTTTTTCAGGGACATTCCTGCTTATTCCAGTGAGACAATGAGACACATTCTGCACGTATTCCAACAGCACAAAATATGACAACAGAAACGCCAGACTGTGTAGCAACTGAAGCTGAAAATCAAGCAAAAATGGTAAAGAATTTCACTTTCAAAACTTCAACAGTTTGTGTCCTCAGTTCCCAAACACTTATTGAGTGTTGTTAAAAGAAAAGGCGATGTCACACAGTGGTAAACATGTCTCTGTTTCAACTTTTTTAGAATGTGTGGCAGGCATCAAATTTAGAGTGAGTGTATGTTTACAAAAAAACAATAAGATTGATCAGTTTGAACATTAAAAATCTGGTCCTTGGACTGTGTTCAATTAAATATAGGTCAAAGGGATTTGCAAATCATTGCATTCTGGTTTTATTTATGTTTTACAGTGTCCTAACTATTTTTGTAGAATCAGGGTTGTACATGCAGTCAATTGACCAATTGTTAATGATAAAGATAAAGATCACTGTAGAGTTTTGTTATAAAAATGAACACATGCAGTGTTTTACAGTGACAAGCCATGAATCATAGAGTTTCTACTCACTATCTCTGTCCAGAGTAATTTGGTTACTTTCCACCCAGGCGGAGCTCTCTGTCCCCAGCTGCGCCCGCACTCTGCCTCTATACTTTCCGTACTCAAATACGGAGATGTTAGGGCACATTGTGAAGTCACATTCAAGCGTGGAGATGTTCACACAGCCCACTTTGTAGTCTGTGACTGTGGATCTGTGGACAAAATACAGTGCTGGTTTTACAGATTTGCTAGAGGTGATGAAAAGGTAGAAACAGAATGGTAGTGACCAAACCTCTGAAGCTGACGGTGGGCTTGACAGCAACACAGTGTGTGTGTGTGTGTGTGTGTGTGTGTGTGTGTGTTTGACAGCGTGCTTCTGTGTGTAAATAATTTTCAGACAAAGCTAGCAGTACACCATGCTGTCAAATAAAGATTTAATCATCACATCAACACAAATTATAACCTTAATTGCGGCTATGACTACCATGTTAGCAAAGAGATGCCTATCTAAACATAGAACAGACTTTATTGTCAATGCACAAGAAGTACAGTTAAATTTGCTGTGCCATGCCTGAAATAGAAAAAATAGAAAATAGACAATAATAAATACACAACACATACACATACACATGTACACAATCATTCCAATCAATAAATATAAAAAATAACATTAAAAGCAGTATTGCACAAGTGGACCCATTATTGCATGTTTGAGTTAAGCTGAATGATTCTCAATATAATTCACGACACAATGGTGGGGCAGTGTTTGATTCTGTTCAGAACATCCAGCTGTCACAGAGCATAAACATAAGTTTGTGTACACCTGATAAATCTAAGCCCAGTTTTCACTTTTTTTATGCCTCTGCACTGGTTAGCTATGGCTGGAGCATTATGTTTTCGGGCTGTCCGTCTGTCCCGTCCTTGTGAACACAATATCTCAAGGATGGCTCAAGGGAATTTGGCACAACTGTCCACTGGGACTTAATGTTGAGCTGATTTTGGTGGTCAAAGGTCGAAGGTCAAAAGTCAAGTCTATATAACCTCATCTGTCTCATTGTCGTGAATGTGGTATTGGGAGAAGGAGGAATTTCTTCAAAATTGGCACAGATGTCCTCTTGGACTTGTAGAGGAACAGCCTCTCTGGACTTCCCTTGAACCAGCATTATCAATGAACAAGACCCACCAGACCACCGGGGGTCAAATGTTTAGGATTCCACCCTGTATTACCCCGACTGGACAAAAACTTCTTTCAGCCATCCTTAGGCCAAAACGAGGTAGAAAGTCACTTGGAATGCCTCAAGTTTCAGATGCCATCCTAAAGTATCCAGCCTTGGGGCAAAACGCAGTGATGAACGACCCACTAGTTGTCGTGAGACAATGCTTCTTTGCTCTGCCACATCCTGTCCATTCGCATTGCCCCAGGAGAAATCACGCCCTCCCCTCTCTTACCAAATGTTTCTGTGTGACAAAATTGAAATGTCTGTTGGAAGTGAAATTATACATTTTATCCCTATTATGTGTTTGGAGTTGTAGAAATATAATTGGGATTTGTTAATCAACCTGTTTTCATGAATATGTGCTTCCTCATTTTGTTTTCCATTATATGTTACAACTATAGGTTGTTTTCAATTGTATTCATTTTAATTGGATGTTAAGAACCGATTTTGACCATAATGAGAAGAGTATGATCTGGTATAATAAGAAACATTAAGTTTCTTTTGAAATAAAGTAATCAGCCTGTTTTACAACTAAGAAGACTGCCTTATCAGATCCGCTCACTTTGGCTGGTTAAAAACATGTGCGCTTTGGTGCACTCGCTCTCTTGTGTGTTTCTCTCTCTTGTATTTCCGCTCTCTTGTTTCCTCTTTCTTGTCTCGCTCTCTTGTGCTCTTCTTCTTGTTTTTTTCTTTTGTTTCTTCTTTTTCGTATCTTAGCCTCTTTCGTATTTACGTTTGTTACGCTTTTATACACTGACGATCAAAGTTATTTTAAACTTTTAAGCTTTGCTTATCCAGTTTTCATTTATCTCCAGTGTTTTCAACATTTTTATGCGCGTTAATAATAACTTTGATAACAATATCGAACGGCCAGCGATGTTGTTTTCATCATTATTATAAGTGAGTAATTATAACAAAGTAGACAAGTGCCCTTTTCGACTTGCTTCTTCAACCAAAGATTCATCAAACCCAGTGGCTGCCAGCCACTTGCCACAGTGGTTCTCGTGCCAAAGCCAAAGGCTTTTTGCAGTGTTAGGAAACCGACGCTGGGGACACCCACAAGACTTCACAGGCTCAACCGCTCCCCCCTCCACAGTGCTGGAAAATCTGGGAGTTGCAAAGTGAAAGTTCGGGGCCCCAGGAGAAACGTCTGCATGATTCGCTGCTAAGAAGGGAGGTAACGAGCTCCCCTCACAGGTGACCCGCTGGGCAGTGGTGAGAGCTGATGTCAATTAGGAGATTTAATTATTTTATATTTAATTAATTAAGATTCCTTAGATAAATATTTTGCGCATTCCTGCGTTCCCAAGTTATCGTAACATACTCTCACTATCGCCAAATTAAATAACTCACATGAGTGTTACTTCTTGTTTTAATCAATTTATACATACTGTTGATTTTGTGTTATTTCATATTATCCTCATTCATTTATTCAGTTGTTACCCATTTAGCTTATATAAATTTTCATTTACCGGCAAGTCGTTGTCTGTGGATATTTCTTTTGAGTAGAAATTAAGATCACTGTATGGAGAATTCATACCCAGTTATTGAGATTGATTCATTATTGATAAGTGTGCTGACGAATTAATAATTGGTTTACGGAGTTATTAATCTGATTAGTCGCTTCCCTCATTAGGAGGGTGGTGACCCAAACTTTATTACGAGTGCGAACATTCTCAAAAAGTAATTTCTCCTACAGACTAAACAATGAACTGAGCGGATTTTGGTGGTCAAAAGCCATCTTATGAACGTAATACCTCAAGAACAGCTTCAGGGAATATCTTCAAATTTGGCACAAATGTTCACTTGGACTGAAGTATTTTAGAATTGTGTGATCATAAATCTGGCCATAAATCAACTATTCATATGCTAATAATAACAAAACTTCACACATATGTCTAATAGGATAAATAATCAAGTGATGAAATTTTATATCCAAAAGGTCAAAAGTCAGCTTTACTGTGACATCATACTGTTCTGCATAAAATACTTTTAATACATTATTCAATGTCATTTTAGGGACAGAAGGGGCTGATTGTAAAGATCTTCTGTGCTGTCAAGGGGACAATGGATGTGAGGCATCCACAGACCTAGATGTAAACTTTAGGAGAAACTTGACTGGTGCGCGGAGGCATACAACTGCAGGCCAGTATTTCTAGTGAGCTGTGTTTTGGTCTCCACCGACTCCTGAGGTGCTAAATACTGCACTATTTTCACCAGCTGGTCTCCAACTGTGTTTGTTGCTTGGTGCTGAGCAGGGTTTTTTTTATGGAAAGCATCTGTCTGTTGCTGCTGGAAACAGGACTGATGAGAAAATTATCTCTATAGCTTAAGATGTTAAGCTATCAGTAAATGAAATTACTCTGATTGGCAGTTCAGCTCCATGAATGTAATGGGAGAACTGGACACAGCATTGGCAGCAGGGCCCCATTTATTCCTTTTAGAGAGTTGCTCAGTGGCCCATGATGCTAAAATGGTATAACTGCCATGTAAAAAATGACCAGGATGATCTGCACTGTTTCCACACTGTGCAGCCCATAGAGCAGGCACACTAGAGACTTAAGCAGCTGAGCGCTACCAAGTGCAGCAGAGTGTTTTACTTCCACCAGCTGAGTGGCTGACTTCCAGTTCAGCGCTCCACTAACTTGAATGAGGATCAAATGATTTAATCTTGCGGCTCGTTTAGACTTTCAAAATGTTATCAGACCAAATCAATCAAATACTCACTGTAAAACAAATCATTTCATGGGGGTGGTGTCACTCAAAAAAAAAAATTTTATTCATTGGTTAGCTGATGTCTCTTCCCAGTGAGTATACCTCGGTATACCAATTCAGTGGGAAAAAAGTATTTTTGGGCCACAGGACATCACATGACGGACCCCAGAAATTGCAGTCCCACTGTAGTTCAGCTCAGCACACTAGAGGAAAAACTGAGGGGAGGAAAGTAAAGAAAGAGCTTAAGCAATCTGAAAGGAATTGGCAATTAACCAAACTGGAAGAATGTCATTTAATCTGGGCAGACAGTCTCAAAACGTATAAGAGGGGCTTCCGCAATGCCAGAGCAAACTATTACTCAGCTTTAATAGAAGAAAATAAGAATAATCCCAGGTTTCTTTTCAGCACTGTAGCCAGGCTGACTGAGAGTCACAGCTCTACTGAGCCTTGTATTCCTTTAGCCCTTAGCAGTAATGATTTTATGAGCTTTTTTAATGACAAAATTCTAACTATTAGAGGCAAAATTCATGACCTCCTGTCCTCAGATAGTACCTATCTGCCCTCAAACACAGCTGTAAGACCTAATATATATTTAGATTGCTTCTCCCCGATTTCTCTTCAACAACTGGCCGCAGTGATTTCTTCATCTAAATCATTAACGTGTCTCTTAGACCCCATCCCAACTAGGCTACTTAAGGAAGTCTTACCTTTAGTTAACACTCATATATTAGATATGATCAATATATCCTTATTAACAGGCTATGTACCACAGTCTTTTAGCTGTAATTAAACCTCTCCTAAAAAAGCCCACCCTGGGTCCAGAGGTGTTAGCCAACTATAGACCAATATCTAATCTTCCCTTTCTTTCAAAGATCCTTGAGAAAGTAGTCGCAGTCCAGCTGTGTGATTTTCTCCATGATAATAATTTATTTGAGGAATTTCAGTCAGGATTTAGAGTGCATCATAGCACTGAGACAGCACTAGTTAAAATTACAAATGATCTTCTGATTGCTTCAGACAAAGGACTTGTCTCTGTACTTGTTTTATTAGATCTTAGTGCGGCGTTTGACACAATTGACCATCAAATTCTGCTACAAAGACTGGAACACTTAATTGGCCTAAAAGGTTCTGCACTAAGCTGGTTTAAATCTTATTTATCTGATCATTTTCAGTTTGTTCACGTTCATGATGAATCATCCTTACGTACTAAAGTTTGTTTTGGAGTTCCGCAAGGTTCTGTGCTCGGACCAGTCCTATTTACTCTATATATGCTTCCTTTAGGTAACATCATTAGAAGTCACTCATTTTCATTGTTATGCAGATGATACACAGTTGTATTTATCGATGAAGCCAGAAGAAAGTAATCAATTAACTAAACTTCATAATTGCCTTAAAGACATAAAAACCTGGATGAGCACCAATTTCTTTATGTTAAATTCAGACAAAACTGAAGTTATTGTTCTTGGCCCCAAACAACTCAGAGACTCTTTATCTGATGACACAGTTTCTCTAGATGGCATTGCTCTGGCCTCTAGCACTGCCGTAAGAAACCTCGGAGTAATATTTGATCAAGATTTGTCTTTTAATTCTCATTTAAAACAAACCTCACGGACTGCATTTTTTCATATGCGTAATATTGCGAAAATTAGGCCTATCCTGACCCGAAAAAATGCAGAAAAATTGGTCCACACTTTTGTTACCTCTAGGCTGGATTACTGTTAACTCCCTATTATCAGGTAGCTCTAGTAAGTCCTTAAAAACTCTCCAGCTAATTCAGAATGCAGCCGCATGTGTACTAACAGGAACTAAGAAACGAGATCATATTTCTCCTGTTTTAGCTTCTCTGCACTGGCTCCCTGTAAAATCCAGAATTGAATTTAAAATCCTACTGTTAACTTATAAAGCTCTAAATGGTCAGGCTCCGTCGTATCTTAGAGAGCTCATAGTGCCATATTATCCCACCAGAACACTGCGCTCTGAGAATGCAGGGTTACTCGTGGTCCCTAAAGTCTCCAAAAGTAGATCAAGAGCCAGAGCCTTCAGCTATCAGGCTCCTCTCCTGTGGAATCATCTTCCTGTTGCGGTCTGGGAGGCAGACACCGTCTCCACATTTAAGACTAAACTTAAGACTTTCCTCTTTGATAAAGCTTATAGTTAGGGCTGGCTCAGGCTTGGCTTGTACCAGCCCCTAGTTAGGCTGACTTAGGCCTAGTCTGCCGGGGGACCTCCTATAATACACCGGGCACCTTCTCTCCTTCTCTCTCTCTCTCGTGTCCTATTACTGTATCTTGCTAACTTGGCCATTCTGGATGTCACTAACTCGGCTCCTTCTCCGGAGCCTTTGTGCTCCACTGTCTCTCAGGTTAACTCGTATTGCAGCGGTGCCTGGATAGTGTGACGTGTGTGGTTGTGCTGCTGCCGTGGTCCTGCCAGATGCCTCCTGCTGCTGCTGTTATCATTAGTCATACTTCTACTGTTATTATACACACATGATTATTGTCACACATGTATACTATCAGATATTAATATATTATTATTAATTATAATATTACTTTCATTAATGTTGTTATAAGCTACTGCCATTACCGTCTATCCTGCATCTCTCTCTGTCTCTGTCTCTCTCTCTCTCTTTCTCTCTCTCTCTCTCTCTCTGTCATACAGTTTACTGTTAATTTATTATGTTGATCTGTTCTGTACGACATCTATTGCTCGTCTGTCCGTCCTGGAAGAGGGATCCCTCCTCAGTTGCTCTTCCTGAGGTTTCTACCGTATTTTTTCCCCGTTAAAGGGTCTTTTTTGGGGAGTTTTTCCTTATCCGCTGTGAGGGTCCAAAGGACAGAGGGATGTCGTATGCTGTAAAGCCCTGTGAGGCAAATTGTGATTTGTGATATTGGGCTTTATAAATAAAATTGATTGATTGATTGATTGATTGATTTACTTACATCCAGAACATGCAACTACGAATCAGCATGGTAGATGAAAATTCTGATTTTCTTGTAACTGGTCTGATCACAGCACTTCAGAGAAACGGAACAGCATGAATGATGAAGCAAAAAAGTCTATTCATATGCAAAATAGCATGTAATTGGCCCACAGCTACTGAGTGCTTACCAGAAGAGTGGAATTTCCAAGTACTAGTGGACGAGCAAAACTTTGCTTTTGCTTTTAGTTGTGTAAATTCACACTGTCTCTATACTCTTGGCTTTACACAGCTCACCAGTTTCAGAATTTTAACACTAAAAGAAGATTCAATCTCTTTCAAATAAATGCTGACCCTCATCCCTGGATATTTCTTCACAGGTTTCATAAGATGTGGATATAATTATCTGCTGCCTTTGTCTCATATGATAGTAAACTGGGTTTCATACTGGACAAAAACAAACAATTTGAATATAAAAACTGCAATGTCTCAGGGTCTAACAACTTGTGATGGTCGTTTTTTATATTTTCTGATGTTTTCTGATAAATTGATCGATCTAATAATCAATAATGAAAATAATCCATAGTTGCAACTCTAGAAATCAGCTGTAGTTTTAACCTTAACAGTCTTTGATGGCTGTGCAGTAATAACAGACTGACAAAGAAGCCAGTGTTTGCAGAACCACAGAGGGTTTTATTGGTGCTAAGAGTGGTGTTGACTCACTTGTACTCAGTTGTGTAGATCAGGCTGCTGGCTGGCTGTTCAGGTGAATCCCACCGCAGCACCAGGTTCAGGTTATAGGAGGTCAAGTGGACATTTGTGGGTGTGCTGAGGACTCCTGATACCACTGCACAGGCCAAACCCAAATATGGTAAAAAGTTAGTAGGATCACAGGTCCACTCAGGAATGGATATAACAGTCAGTTTTTTTAATAATACAAAACATGTCATGAGCTGAGCAACTGTACTTGAAGGTTTTCCATTGAAAAAACCCATATTAACGACAGGCTCTTTTGTCTTTGCGATCATCATTATTGTGTGGTGATCATAATGTTGCATCTTTTATTGGCTCATCATTTTGTTCTAATTATGTTTCCATTAAAGCCACAAAAAACCTGTTGTTTCCATATCAGTAAATGTATTTTTGTTCCCCAACTTCATTTATTGGTTTTTATTACATGTTTACAAAATTCAGCTACACTTATTCATTCAGTGAACACTCATTATTTGTGAACTGACCCCTCCCAATGGTACTAGGGTGACCATATTTTGATTTCCAAAAAAGAGGACACTCGGCCGGCCACGACATAGCCTACTTAAATGATACTCGCAGTTTACTCAAAGATGCCTTATAATTTTAATATATTTAAAATTTATATGTATGGATAGAAAATTCAATTATATTACAAAATAATATCTCTCAGAGACAGAAATTCAGATAGGCCCCAATAGGGGACACATAAGGCCCGTTTCCACCGCAGGAACTTCGGGGTAATTTTACGGGGCCGGGGCCGTTGGTGCGTGTCTCCACCGCAGGAACCACCCCCTAAGGACAGAGTTCCGGAACTTTTACAGGGGCTAAACAAGTCTCTGCCTCGGGGTAGGTACTCAGAACGGCCCCGAAAGACTCCTGGCTGGGGCTTGGGGATTACTTGGTGCTGACTGGATATACTCAAGGAGGGATGTGACGTGAACAGAAAGCTACAAAATAGCTGGCATTTTTAAAACTCAGCAGATGAGGGTTAGCTTGTTCATATAGCTTCCGCCGCCATGTAAAAAAAACTCACTAAATGGCCCGTGAAAAAAATATTTTTTCCAGCGGATATCTTAGTTACAACATGATTGAGCTAGCAAAGCAGTTTTGTGTTGCTATGTGTGGTATTTATTCAGTTATGGGAAATCACGATGTCTAGAAAGCATCAGTAGTGGCTGCAGCTGACAGGGACAGCTCACAGCAGCATCTGTTAAAAGCCTCCCGTTGTCGGATACGACATGAAACTACTCCAGTTAGCTCAATCATGTTGTAACTAAGACATCCGCTGGAAAAACTATTTTTTTCACGGGCCATTTACTGAGTTATTACAGACACCGCTATCGGCTAACAGCTAACAACGTCCCTACGTCGCCCCGGTCAAAATGGTCGCGCAATGATTACGTCACATCCAGAGCCCGTAACTTTACAGGAACCTTCCTCGTACTCCGCTCTCTCAGCGGAGACACGGCGGTTGAGAGAGCCGAGCGAGAGGACGTTCCTGTAGTAGTTCCTGCCCCCCAAATAGTACCAGGAACTTCATCAGTGGAAACGGGTCTATACACACACTAGAGTGTGGTGATCTGAGCCCGACGGTACCCGAGGGGTCGGGCTGGGTTTGGTCAAAAATGTAGCCTAGCTATGAATTGTATTTGGGCTCGGGTCGGATTCGGTCAGCTTTCAGTGAAAATGTAGTGTAAAAATAAATAAAATCCTATTGTCTGTCCTGTTTATTGCTTGGGCACTGTTATTTACGTGACAACACCTGAACATAACACACACAGACACACATTGGCTGTTTGTTTCTACCTCTCCCCTCGCTGGAAGTCTCGGACCTCCAGCTGCCCACCTCAGCCTTGATTAAACACTGAAAATAAAATAAAAGAGGGAGACAGGTTTTTCCTATTTTATCTTATTTTGTTATATTTCTCCCACTCCTTTCGCTGGAAGCGTCAGACCTCCCGCCGCCCGCTCCTGCCGCCCGCTCCCGTCTCAAACACGGAGGTTTCCCTCTCCGCTGAGCACCCACGGCGCACGCCCGGCCTGTTAAATAGCCTGTAACCATAACAACTGTGTGACACAAACTCAGTGCTTTGGTCACTAAATAATGTCGGGCTCAGTTCGGGATCTGACAGAAATATGCGCCTGTGCCGCACTCTAACACACACACAAACACACGGAAAACCGGACATTATCATCAGTTTATAAAAACCCCCCGGACGCCCCGGACGGGATGTGAAAAGTGGACATAGCCGGGCAAAAGAGGACGCTTGGTCAGCCTAATTATGGTACACACCCAGTGTAGAGCAAAACAAAAAGTACAGGGCAGAAAAGTACAGGGAAAATAAAGATGAAGAAGAAGAAGAAGAAGTAAAGCTCAACATAACAATGAGTCAAAGCAAGCAAGACAATTATATTCAGTCCAAAGCAATGACAGGTCATGGTATTAACATATGTCAGAGAGGGATTCCATGTCTTTTCAAATGCATTATAAGTGCCAGACAAGGTCAGCCTGCTTTTTTCAAGTTTAAGAAAATGCAGTACCTCCTTAATCCAGCCCGTGTGGGTAGGCAGGACTGATGATTTCCACTTTAACAATATCAGTCTCCTAGCTAACACGGTTGTAAATGCTATTATGTTCTTATTAGCAGAAGAGAGAGTGAGAAAAGAGAGCAAAGAGGGCAAAACACCAAATAGACCAGTAATAGCATGAGGGACCACATTCTCCCCATCCACCCCATATAGTGTGGCAAAAATCTCAGTAATAGTAGTGGTAAACAGTAAATGTAATCAAGAAATCCTAATGACAAAACAGTGGCATCATTAGGCCTGGGCGTCTGAGGCTAGGGCCTGTAATGTTTTATGAGTAGCCCCAGGTCTACATATATAGGCAATAGGCCTATATAATACTACTACTACTACTACTAATAATAATAATAATAACAATGAAGAGCCCCAAATGTACTCATTACATGTATTACAGGCCCTGAATCTTTAAACTAACCAAAGCTGACAAATAAATGTGGTGCAGTATAAAGTACAATATTTCTCTCTAAGATGTTAAGGAGTAGAAGTATACAGTAGCATAAAATGGAGACACTCAAGTTAAGTACAAGTACCTCAAATTTGTTCTTTGGTACACTACTTGAGTAAACATGCTTAGTTAATTTTCCACCACTGTTAACATAAATAAATTTAAAAACTATTGTTACAGCTGTAGTCTATAAATGTTTAATGGTAGCAGTTGCGAAGTACTGGCTTTTTTAAAGATTATTATTTTTTGGCATTTTGCCTTTATTGGACAGGACAGACTAAGAGTGACAGGGGGAGAGAGACAGAGGATGACAGGCTGCAAAGGGTCATGGGCTGGAATCAATCCTGTGGCCGCTGCGCCAAGGACACAGCCTTTGTACATTGGGCACGTCCTTGACTAGGTGAGCTAGTGGGCACCCTGCAAAATTCTCTTTCTGCTCAATACCAATACAAATAATTAACAACTAGTAGGCTAATATTTTTTACATGACAATTCAAAATTAACCTGGAAACAGTATCTTAAGTACATATTTACTTTTTTTAATGATTAAGATGTGTACTTTAAATGTAAATAATGTTCCAGAATGCATAAAAAAAGCATCAAACGGAGAATGAGCTACAGAGGTCCAGACTTAGCCCCAAATGTCTTCAAATCCCAGAAACGCCCTTCTGTACTTAAGAAAAAAAAACTTTAAAACTAACAGCTCCATATTTGATGTACTTGGCTGGGGTCGTCCTTCTTAAAGGGAAGATGGTTCCTCGTAAGCTGTAGTTACAGTAATAAGCCCAGCACACATTCTGTATGATTAACAATCAAGTGACAAAGCTGAATTGTTTACCTCTGGATCCGCATAGTGTTGAAAACGTCAGGGCAAAGGCACAAATAGAGGCTGACATGTTATCCGCAAGTCTCTTCTGTCAGTTTAAAAAATAATTTAGCTGAGCACTGTGGGTGACCGAGTCTGTTTCATATCTCATGTCTGTATTTCCTGGTATCATTCAACGGGGGGGGGGGGGGAGTCCGCGGAAACGAAACTCACTACTGCACAGAAACGTCTGCGGCTTCAGGGAATCAGCCTATCGGTGACCGTTGAAAAAAAGAGGCACTCGTGTTGTCGTGTAAACAAGACTGCTCTTCAAATATAAAAAGTAGGCTCGTTCGAGATGAGCCAGGCCTGCGCAGATTCTATCACCGGCGATCGGCTCACAATGCATGTTTTGTGTCCGACTTCATTCCGACTTGCTCTGACGTATTACAAAAGTGGACGGTGATAAAATCGCGAAAGCGAGTGAAATCGTAGCTTCATGAAGCAGTGAACCTCTTTGACACAATTCAAGAATGACACACAAGGCTCGTTCGCGATGAACTGCGCCTCGTCTGGAAAGTGGACGAGAAGGCGGTTGCAGCAGGGGGCGGTGACAAAAAGTCAAGTCGGACAGTTTCCCGACAATGTACAGCAGCCTTCAGTCCGTACAGGAAGTCACAGAAACACTATGCTACATCCTGTCCCATATGATGTCGTTTTTTTAAAATGTTACCAGACCCATCTATCAGTTTGTTTTCAGTCTCCAGTTGTTTTAATTACAATAGGTTGATTTCTTAAAATGCTTTACAGGCGATCTGTAATTTATTTTCATGGTTCACCCTCCCTTTTACATTAATTTTCATGTGAATCAGCATCATATCAGTTTGCTGCTGCAGAGCAGACCTGTCCCCTCAACTACACAGGCTAAATAAATTTTGTCTGACTACAAGGTTCATATTTTAAGACTGCAAGTCTTTGTGATGTTAAATACTTAAATAACTAAAACACTCTCATGTTAATATACAGCAGCCTCTGTATAGTTTATGATGGATATATCTAGTCTCTAACAACTAAACTTCACCATCAGTCACACAACATTCTGTTCATAGAATAAACTCTCCAAATAAAAAAACTGAAATATCTGAAATTCAATAAAAATGAAAAGTTTATCTAAAATGTCATATCGTTGAGTAGACCTCTAAACCAATCAATTAGATCAGGTGAGAGCCAGGTGGTGCAGTCGGTGAAGAGCAACTGCAGCGCCTGTCTCAAAAAACTGTGGCCGCCTCGCTCTCGCGATTTTATCGCTGTTCACTTTAGTTCCGTAATACGTCAGAGCAAGTTGGAATGAAGTCGGTGTCGGACACAAAACTAACCGGCATGCATTGTGCGCCGATCACCAGTGATCAAATGTGTGCAGGCCTGGCACATCTCGAACGTGCCTACTTTGACACAACTGCTTCAAGAATGACACACAAGGCTCGTTCGAGATGAACTGCGCCTCGCCTGGAAAGTGGACGAGAGAAGGAAGCTGCAGCAGGGGGCGGTGACAAAAAGCTGCGGTCAAGTCGGACAGCGTCTCGACAGTTTTCAGCAGCCTTCAGTCTGTACAGGAATAAGTCTGTGGATATTCTCATTTATCCAGGTCAGTTCCATTCTGGCAACAATTAAATCGTAGGCAACTGGACTTTGATTTTGTCTAGAAGACGTTTCGCCTCTTATCCAAGCGGCTTCATCAGTTCTCAACGCATCAGTCTGACTAGTCCTCACTAGTCTGGACTGACTAGACTAGTCAGACTGATGCGTTGAGAACTGATGAAGCCGCTTGGATAAGAGGCGAAACGTCTTCTAGACAAAATCAAAGTCCAGTTGCCTACGATTTAATTGTTGCCAGAATCTGTACAGGAAGTCACAGACACACTTATATCCTGTTCAAAATGGTGTTTATTTATTAAAAAAGTGATCAGACCCATATATCAGTTTGGTCTCGGTCTCAAGTTGTTTTAATTATGATAGATTGATTTATTAAAATGCTTTACAGGTGATCTATAATTTATTACCTCCGCCAAGGAAGTTTTCGCCGGCATTGGTCTGTTTGTTTGTTTGTTTGTCTGCAAAAAACTCAAAAAGTTATTAACGGATTTTGATGAAATTTTCAGGAAAGGTGGATAATTGGACAAGTAATAGATAATAATTTGGTGGTGATTGGTTGAAGCAAAGTTGATAAAATAATAAATAAAGTCTATGATCTGACAGCCTCAGCAGCAATCAAGACGGTGAAAATAGCGCCATCTGGTGGCCGGAAAGCACGTCTTGTTCTACTTGCTAATTATTGTTGTAATTCTAAAGTTTGAATTAATGTTCTGTTTTGGAAAAAAGAAAGTGAAAAATACAAAAAAACATATTATATTCTGTGTTGGTACAAAATAAAAATGAAATAAATACACCACAGTGTCTCCATGGTGAAGGCATATATAACCTGTAGAAACTTGTATGTTGTGTGTGAAGGACACACCAACTTGAATCCTAAACACTGGTTTTTAATAACAGACTGGGTTACCCGAGGATGAACCTGCAACATGCATAGACCGAGAGAGACACACACACACACACAAGATGGAGCTACAAGCACACTAATAGGCTAGGCTGTGCATAAGTACGGTGGTTCATGACAAAAAAAAGAGTGATCATACAGCCAATGATCTACATCCCTTCTCTTTAGCTGAAATCTTCAATGAATAACAAAATGTCACTGGTCAGATAACAATACAGAACATTCCACCATGTTATACCATTATCAGTAAGCAACCCAATAATGATATTCTTAGTTTACCTAAACCTAGATAACACTAATCAGGGTAAACAAGAGAGAAAACACATCACTTTAACCAGTGCATCTGTCACTCTACCATTTCACTATAAGTGCACAACTGAAATAATTAAATGCAGCAACAATAATAATCATACAAATCCAGCAATATGCATAGCATTTCAAAACATGAATTTACTACACATATTTGGGGTTTGGTCTGCAGGTGCATCCTGAACTTGTCATGTAATGGGCAGTTCTGTCCTTAGTGGGTGAGTGGGGTGTGGGTACAGGCTGAAGAGGAGAAGGGGGCTGTGTACACATGGCGTATGGCTCTGGCATTTGTGGTGTGGGGGGGAACAGAGTTCGTTAAGGAGGGGCCAGTGACTTGGGGGTCTGAGTCCTCTGTGTGGGGCTGTGGTGGTGGCTCTGCCACAGGAAGGATGTGGTGGCAGTTCCTTCTGTATGTCGCTCCTTTGGACTGGATCATGTAGGAGCGTGGCTCCTTGATCATCTCCTGTACAGTCCCAAGCTGGTCATATCCTTTGGGGTTTTGCATGCGCACCACTTGTCCCTCTGCTAAAGGCTGTAGAGGGTGACTTGACTTATCGTAGTGGCGCTTTAAAGTGAGCCTTTTGTTTAGAAGTTGGGCATTGATTTGTTGGGTGCATTTCAGTGAGGGTTTCAGTAGGTTGGTGCTCACTGGAATGGCTGCTCGTGTCTCCCATGACATGAGATGCTGAGCAGGGGAACCCAATATTGAATCCCGGGTAATGTTTCTGACGTTAAGAAGGTTGAGGAACACGTCAGTTCCTTCTTTGTGGGACTTTTCCATCAGCTCTTTAGCACTGCGCACCGCTCGCTCTGCGAGGCCGTTTGACTGAGGATATTCAGGGCTACTGGTGGTGTGGATGAAATCCCATTGTTTGGCAAAGTCCTTGAAATGCTGACTGGTGTATTGTCTGGCGTTGTCAGAGATGAGAGTGTGTGGTGCACTATGAACTGAAAAGTGTCTCTTCAACTTGGAGATCACTGCTGAGGTTGTTATGTCAGGTTGGAGGTAGATCTCGTACCATCCGGAGTATGAGTCCACTTGGTAGTGCTTGCCACGCCAGTTGAAAATGTCTATGGCCACTGTGGACCATGGGAGGTCTGGGACATGATGAAGTTGAAGAGGTTCCTTTTGTTGGTGTGACTTGGAGAATGAGAACAGCGCTTCAGAAATGTCTTTTGTCATAGTTGGCCAGAAGATGATGTTTCTAGCTCTGCGCTTGGTTGCTTCAGCACCTGGGTGCCCTTTATACAATATGTCGATGTATACTTTGTGCAGAGATTGGGGAATGATTGTTTTGTGTCCTTTCATGACAATGCCATCCTCCACTGCGAGTTTGTCTCTGTAAGGGAAAAATGGCCTGACAGCAGGTTGGAGCTGGTTCATTTTGGTGGGCCATCTTCTTTGGATGGCTGCACTGAGGCTTTGCATTGCTCCATCCTCCGCTGTGTGCTGTCTGAGTTCCTCCAGGCAGGCTGTAGCTCACCACCATGACTTCAAAAGCATCTTCATCAGTGGGGCTCTGGGAGATGTGCGAGTTTGGAGCTCTTGAGAGAGTGTCTGCCAGATACATGTGCTTGCCTTTTTTGTACACCAGGGTGATGTTGTAGCGCTGCAGTTGGAGTAACATTCTCTCTAGACGGGCGGGGGCAGTGTGAATTGGCTTTTTTATGATCGTCACCAGAGGCTGATGATCAGTCTCCATGATTGTGGGCTTTCCATATATGTAGTCTTTGAATTTTGTGCAGGCGAACACGACAGCCAGGAGCTCTCTCTCAATTTGTGCGTATCGTGTCTCAGTATCCGTGAGGGTGCGCAACGCAAACGCAACTGGCCTGCCGTTTTGCATGCATGTAGCTCCCAGACCATAGCATGAAGCGTCACAGGTGAACGTGACAGGCTCCTTGACGTTGTAGTATGCCAGTACGAGTGTGCTGGACAAACACAACTTGAGGCGGTCAAATGCCTCTTGATGTTTTGGGAACCAGCACCATGCAGTCTCTTTATGAGTCAGTTTCCTCAGCGGTGTTGCGATGTCATTGAGGTTTGGGATGTACTTGGCAAGGTAGTTGATCATACCAAGGAAGCGCTGTAGTGAAGCAACATTTGTGGGGATTGGCATGTCTGTGATTGCTGCAGTTTTGGAAGGGCTGGCTTTCAGGCCTTGGCTTGTGAAGATGTGGCCTACATAGCCTACTTGGTCCAGGCGAAATTTGCATTTATCCGGATTTAGCTTGAGGTTGACCTCTCAACCGTTCAAGCACTCTTTTCAATTTTGCGTCATGGTCAGCTACTCCTGCGCCTCCAGTGATGATGTAATCAACGATGACTGAGCATGGATAACCAGTGAATAGTTGCTCCATGGTACAATGAAACACCTCACTAGCTGAGTTATTGCCGAAGGGCATTCGTAGAAATCTGTAGCAGCCAAATGGGGTGCTGAACGTTGTCATCAGTGAGGATTTCTTATCAAGAGGTATCTGCCAAAATGAGTTTTTAGCACCCAGGACTGAGAAGACTGTTGCTCCGGACATCTGTGCTGCCACCTCTTCAACACTGCGCATGGGGTAGTGTGGCCTTTTTAGTGCTGTGTTGAGATCTTTTGGATTTATACAAAGACTGATTTCTGGCTTGTCTTTCTTGTGTGTTGCCACCATGGAGGAGGCCCAATCAGTTGGCTCACTGACTGGTGTTATGACACCTATCCTTTGCATGCGTTCCAGTTCAGCTTGTACTCTCCCTTGCA